TGTAGGGAATTAAATCGCATGGGAAAGCTGAGATTTTTTTTTTTAATGCCCTCTTTCCTTTTTTCTAAAAAGCCATGTCCAGGGCTTATTTGCATTTTTTAAAAACTGTCTGTGGGGAAACAGAGACACTAAAAGCTGTAGTGGATATGACATGGCTGTGATGATTAACAAGATTGGATACGCTCAATACAGACTTGCCTTGAAGCAAATCGTCATAGAAATCCAACTCGTGTTCAGTCCTAGGGGAAAGGCCTGGATATATTATTTAGCTTTGTAGCAAGCCCATAGGGTAAGGTTTTCAAGTGCTCTAAAGGAGACAGTTTGCAGAACCAGGGCTGTTCTGCTAAAAATGCTACAGAATTATCAGTTCTAAAGAACTTTAGCAATAATGGATTATTTTTGCTGCCATCACTGCGAAGTGGAAGAGAAAAAATGGATTTTTCTCTCTGTTGCTACTGCAATATAGGAAGCATTAACTTCTGGAAACTAGGAGGCAGACTTAACCTTAGATTCTCCTATTCACTGAAATAAAAAAAAGACAAGATGTCAGCTGTACATTATTTAGCACCAAAAACCTGATGCATCCAATAAGAGAAACAAGGGAAAAATACCCTTTGAATTTTAAAAATATGCTTTAATTCAGACTGTAGACAAAATAACCGCAAATGAAAGACCTGCAGCTATGAGAGAAATACTTGAGAGAACAACCTATTTAAAAGTAACCCGAAACAACCACTAAATGAAGGCAATTGAAATGCGTGTTTAGAAAAAGAAATCTCCCCATTAACTATTGGAAAAATAGGTAAATGGATCTTTTGAAGCAAACATCATTGCTGATGCTGCCACCCCTAGTATCAGTGTATCTTTGTCTTGATTAGTACATGTAATACTTGCTGCTCGGTGGTCATGGACTATTTGGCTTCTGTATATCACAATTGTTATAATGCTTGTCTCAGTAAGAGAAATCCTACCAAGTTACTGCTTCACACTTCCCCACTAATTTGTTTCCCTCAAAACATGTCTTTTTGTGTTTTGAACATCTGAGCTGTGATCCATCTGTCTGTGACAGAGATGTTTATTCTTAGTCCAAGATGGAATTTCAGACTTCTGTTTCTTAGTTAGCTGTTTTCCTTCACCCCAGGCCTATATATTTGGGTGTCTGATATTGACAACCTAAAATTTCAAGTGGAGCAACTTAAATTGAAACACCTTAAACAGTTCTAGGAGTCTTCTGAAGTATGTTGTTGAACTGCATCTTGCCAGTAGCTGCAGCATAAAGTGTAAGGACTATATACAGACTTTCCTACATTAAGCTGCTTCCATTTTTTTCCAGTCTTTTGTTGCTTCAGATTAGAGTTGTCATATCCTAATGGCTGATTCCAAGACACTCCCTTCTTGACAGTCTCTTTTTTAGTTCCCTTGAGTCTGAGGTCAGCTGGAGTTTTATAGTTTAACTCCCAGAAACCTTTGTAGCTCTCCCCTGTCCCTCTGGGATTTGCCTTTCCATTTTATTTCAGGCTTTCACCATTGATACAGCTCCCTGTGTAATGCTAATCCAGGAACAGCCTTATATTTCCCCTCCTCCTCATTCCTCTCCTCTAGCTGTTCCATTTTAGCTGATAGTGATCACTAATGGCTTAGGCTCCTGCTTCTGCTGTAGTTACAGTCTCTCTCTCAGAAGTCCTGCTCAGCAGCCACACTCCATTGGGTACTTGGGGGTGATACTTCCTGACAGCGTAACACCACTGGGGATTGCATTACCCAGGCATGCAGAAAAGAGAAAGTGCCTGTCTAGCCTAATAAAATAAACACACGAGTAGAAAAATACAAGCTAGGGGTAGAGCTAGGGCTGCACTCATCGATCCCAATATACTCTTCCGCTTCAAAAATCTTTCCCCACATAGGTATATTTAATATAGTCTCTGTCTTTGCATTATTCTCCTTAAAGAAAGAAAATGTTGGGGCGGAGGAGCTTTGCTTGGGTCGGTATATCTGATCCCCCTCATGCAGGGCACAGTGTGTGCTGCATTTCTTGCAGGGGGAGGCTTTGGAGAATACACTCCAAATAGGGGCAAATTGTAATGGCAAACTGCAAATGTTTTAAATAACTGGTTCATAAGGAAAAGGCTGACATGGGCATCACCATGGCAAAACATATGCCACAACTGTAACTATGGGGAAATAAAAGGTAGCTCTGGACTGGCCTGCTCTTTGAGGAGTGACCCAAAAAGTGTGTTTTGCAATGCTACAAATGAAGGAGACAGACTTCACAGCCAGTCAAAAGTAGTGAAGCTGTTACTTATTGATTAGAACTAGTTTCCTTGAATCTGAAAGCTTTTCTATGAAGCTTGCGACTTTTTTTTCTAGAGGCATCTAGTGGGCTTTCAAATTGCTCTTCCTTTTCATTATGAAGACAATTTTAATATTAAAAAAAGTCAAGTCACATGCACAGGCTTAGGGAAATTGAATCTCAGAGCTGGCCAATCAGTTTAAGGTCAGAGTCAAATTTAATCCAAGAAAACAAAAATAGATGAACCAATCTTATTTCTTCTTCAATCCACTTTACAGTAAATAGTGTTATTAAGGTCCTGAAACTTAGTTATCCCTCCCTAACCACCTCTAGCTCCTTCCCTGAAGCCCCCACTAAATCCGTCTCTGAATGCATCCTACAATCCTTTCAGAGGCAATTGGCTTACAACAAACAAGTGGAAGCCCAGTGTGCTACCTCGTTGCTATTCTGCCTTCTCTTCAGGAAACCAGAATGACTAAATCCTTCCACAAGATACCAAGCTTAGAAAGTGATTTTATTTTTAACTCTTGGTATAGATACAGTACACAATTTTTTCCATGCCTTCATATGCGGTGCTGATTTCTGCAGTGCACCCACTTATGTTTACATAAACATTACACTTGTCATTCGGCATGAGGGGAACAATCCTGTCATCAAGAGAATTTAAATCCACCTGTGATCAGGTAAGTGACTCCAGTGACACATTAAGGGCCATTTTCTTCAGATGCTGGCTGCAAATTTAAAAATGCAAACCCTCACATACCCCTTAGGGTATGCTTATATTTTCTTTAAAATGTGTTTGGGAGAAGAAATGGGCAGGAAGATTTGAACTTGTGGCCTTGGTTATACTGAGGAAATTTACCAGGGAAATATTTTTTCTGCAGGTGAGCTGTTAGTGAAATTGATGATTCCCCTTTTCTCTGGAACTTGAACTTATTGCTCCCTCCTTTTCAGATAAAATTATTTCTTGGGATTAAATGGGGGTTCTGAGGGAAGTACTGGCTACAGTTGTCCTGTCACAAGAGGAGTAGCTTCCAAAAGGGTAATGCTAACTGGGGGTGGGTGGGTGTCATGGTTCAGGCCACAGTTAGATGTCTGATAAGGAATTACAAGTTGCATTTGGCTGGAGAAACATTGCACTGGAGGTCATTTTCTTCCTTTTTAACTCACTTCTGCTTAGAGCTGAAACACTAGCAAGGTGTCTTTTTGATCTAAACTGCAATTGTAGAAGAAATACTCTGTATAGGTTGCTTTTCCAAGGCTGTAAGCACCCACATACTACTTGAGAAGCGTTGAATTAACTAGTTGGTGATGCTGAGCAGAGCGCAGGAAGGTAACCTCACTGCCTTCCTTACAAAGTAGTAGTGCAGCGAACCAGCACGAGAAACTGAAAATAGTGAGGTCAAACAACTTGGCATATGTTAGATCAAGAAACGGGTATTATCCTAGATTCCATCCCTAACTGCTGAAGGGGGAGAAACATAATCTATCAAGGCCATTTATCTCAATCAATACGTGTTCCTTCTCCCACCGCAATTGCGGCATTCTGCATGAATGCTTCCTCACAGCCGAAGAGGAAGCCTCTGCTTAGCACTCTGTGTTGAGCTGATCTCCTCCGGTTCTGCACTAATTGCTGCTGTGTTTCAGGCTAGGGTAGGAAATGGGGATATGAACTAACCGCACGTACGTGTGGAGGGAAGGTGAGGAGGAGGCACCCTGGGGAGCAGGCCGGGCTGAAGCCCTTGTCGGCAGAGCCAGCGCAGGCGCTGAACGCTCTCCCGTTCTCCCTGTGGCTCAGTCCCACTTGTGTCTTGCTGCCTCGGGCTTCCCGGATGGGGTCTCCTAGCAACTGTGCGCTAGCAGCCAGGCTGGGGGGCACAGACAGCGCTCGCTGTCTTCCGAGTGCTCATCCCCCATCGCCTTCTGCTCACAAACCCTGTCCAGGTCTCTCCGGCTGCCACGTGCTGCACCCTGGAGATCTGTGTGTCTTGCAAGAGGGCACTTCCCCACCTGCTTTAAGTGCTCTTGCTAGTGCAGGGTCCCAGCTTTAAGCCCACAGGAGCAAAGTGGACTGGGGAGATTTCCCACCCAGCAGACCTGGGTCCAAAGTTAAGCAGTATAATGCCATTATGGGGTGGACTTCTTCCAGAGCCTGAGCGTTTCCTAATTCGGAGCTCCCCAGTGTTACTGGAGGGGCCCTTAGTTCTCAGAGGGGTGCCTTGCAATGCAAAGAGCAATTCAGGTACCTGAGGGCTGGCAGAGTCAGGAGCTTGGAATCTGAGACATGTAGGGATGTGCAGGAGTAGGCTTGAGTCTCCAGAGTGCGTTGGTTTTGTGTGAGTGTGTGCGCATGTGTGCAAAGCAGTTCTGCAAAGTGATGGCTCCCTAAGTGATTATTTAGCCCTCTTGAGAAACGAGGGAAATTGTCCAGGCTATTGGCACCGTAATGCTTCTGGAACTTGAGCTTGGCTGGCTGTGTGTGGTATCACATGCTGGGCCACTGAATCGTATCCTGACTTCACCTGGGCGCTCCGCTCCTTGGGCTGTGGGGAGTACAACAGGGCTCTGAGAAGCTGTTACTGTCTTGGAGAAGCATCAGGATTTGGGAAAGTATCTGTTGCTTACAGTAGTTTTTCTTAGGCGAACTGTGGAGGAATTTGTAGGTTCCAGGCATGGAACTGGGCACTGGTAGGCTAGGCAGTTTGTAAACAAAAAAAATGAACAGAAACAGAAAAAGCAGTAGAAAAGAAAATATTTGTTCCATAAACCTTATTGCTCAACTAGGAGCTGAGGTTGAAATTCAAGAGCATTGTTTTGGGGCCTGTAACTAGGATGCTAGGATGTCTTTTTTTTTTTTTTTTCCCCCTATAGCTATCTTTCTCAAAGGGACTTACTCTATTAGCCTAGCTCTTTTGTACCTTTTTTCCTCTCTTTTTTTTCTTTCCTTTTTTGTTTTGTTATTTAGCCACTCACACACTGGATAAACAGTTTCAAAGAGCTTTCAAAATCCAAAAGATGGGGACGTTACACAAATTAATCTTACGAAGCGAGGTATTTCCTGGGAAAGTCTTCTAAAGGAATTTCTTTTTCATTACCGAGTCCCTCATTACAGGATTAAAAGCTAAGCTCCTTCCTCCCTGATTTCTGCCACAAATTAGGTTTTCATAAGACCTTTTATGTGTTTTTTTTAAGTACCACAAGTCTCACCTCTTCTGGCAGAAATATAAATATTAAGAACATTAATCATTTCACACTAATCAACTACATTTAGGAACTTTGGCTAGGAAAATCTTTGCTTGGAAAGTACCCGAATTCCCCTTTTTCAGTTTTTTTTACTATGATATACTAAGTGTAATTGAAAATACTCAGGGCTACGTAGTAGATGAATTTTGTTGACTTCAAGTCAGTCTAGATCTTGCAGAATAACCCTGTTTGAGCCTTCTGAGGTCTTGCCTACCACTTCTAATACTGGTATTTTGAGAGGCGATTTAACTTTGTAGTGGAAACGGGCCTGTTAAATCCCCAAATCTGGTAAGTCGTGTCCACAGGTGAACCCCAGACCCTCTGGAGATGCTCGTGTGTCAGGACTTTGCAGTATGTGGCCAGCGAAGGATCCAGAAGAGGGAGAATGTAACAGATTGCCCTGTCTCTGAGGGCTCAAAGTTGGCATGAAGGCGTTTATCTCTTACCTTCTTTTGTGTTCACGTGCAACTGTAGAATGAGATTGCTTCATAATAAAACTCTTCTTTAGCTGACAGCCAGGGAGATGAGTATCAGGTCGAAAAGCAAAAACATCTGCTGGCAGATTAATGAGAAGATTATTGGCCAGGCTTTTTCCACTTCATTATCTCTGCCTTCCACAGAAGTCATCGCTGCAATCCCAGTCATTTACTGTGGAGCAGAAGGGAGTCAACAAAGTAGGACTGAATTCTCTAGCCTGCGAGCTGGACCTCAGGGTCCTATCCCACATCTAGTAACTGCACGCAGGGAAAAGCTGCTATTTGGTAAGAGTGCGTGGCCACCATTATGTGGTAGCGTTTGCTCTTGCCACAGACCTCTGTGGAGGCTTCTGTGCGAGTCCAGAATTTATGGGGGTGAAAGGCAGAGCAATGGACAACAAACAACTGTAAACCCAAAGAAAAGTCAGCCTCTTCTAGGCCCTTTTCTTTCCCTGCAAAGGTAATATAGGTAATGCCTGTATTGCATCCAGGTTGTTGCATTATAATAATAATTAATATAATGCAATTCCAAACTTCCTGCTTTGCCTCATCCAGTCTCCAGTTAAACTGTAAATGAACAAAAAAATGAAAAAGCTAAAAATACTCCCAGAGGTAAGATCACAAGAATGTGAATACTCATTTTTATCAAATCGGATAGACATGGGCAAGATACATAGAAGCTGGAATACGTAAGGCTTAGCAGCCTGAGAAATAGAGGTGATGTAGAAATTGTTGATGAATGCTGAGCATTTGGCATCCAAGGGCTTACCCTCAGCAGTGACAAAACATGCACGAGAAAAAAAGGTTTGCGCCTCAAATGGAAGTATAGAATTCCTCGTATGAAAATGTCTGAATTCCAGTAAAAAGGTCGTTTATCTTGTAGTCTGTATCTAAAAAAAAATGCTGGTCCGTGTCTAATGTTCTTACAAGTTTCTCACTTAATGAGATAATTTCACCCAGTGACAAGATTTCATTATTACTTCATTTAGGACTCAAGAACAAATGGAAAAAAGAATAATGGTTAACCTAGACTTTCTAACAGTTTTGTTAATATACCTAATTTTCTAGGCAGGACAAACATGGTAGTGCAAATCAACATTGATTTGCAAGCAACTGATGCAGTAATTCCTCGGTAACATGAGAACATAGAAGTAAAACTACAAAAAATAGGCCCTGGTTCAAAAATTGGGAAGTGGGTGAAGAGCTGATGAACAGAGACAGTGAGTTGTAGGGCAAGTAATGGGAAAGCTCATCAAAGTCAGTCTTACTGGACTCATGCGCATACATACATGTGTGTGTGTGTTCAATATTAACACTGAGAAGTGAAAATGTGCTTATTTGAGACATAATTTGGAGAGAGCATCGGGATGATGACCAGAAGGAGCTGAATGACCTGAAAGACTATAGTAATAGAAATATCCAGTCCTATGGAGCACCGTACGAGGTCTTCCCAGAACAGATAGAGATGTGTTAATACTATTCTACTGTGTGCAGTCTGACAGTCGAGAATGTACAAGATGTTCAAGAAATTGAACTGGAGCAGGTTCAGTTGGGGTGAGTACAGTAATCATAGGATGGAAGAGCCAAATCTGGGAGAGGAGACAGAATCTGTCTTTTTTTAAACCCATTTTAAAAGAAACAAAAGTATTAGAGGATGTCGTTGCTATTTCTGCTTATGTTATAGGGGTAAGCACTCAGGGTCACAGCAGAAAGAATAACCATTTTTTAGCTAACGGGTAATACTTGGATAAGACTGACTGGCGTTTTATTGGCCCAAGAAATCCATCACTGAAGATGAGGTGGCTTTTGACTCTGAGGCTTTGAGTGAGGCTCAGGTACGACGAGAGTAGGAGTAATGGGCAAAACCTGAATTATTGTTAAGATAGAGCTAGTGAATAGATAAAAGGGATCCTATGGCAGAGTTGCCTGCAGTAGCAGGTTTGTCTGAATGATCAGAATGTCCTATCAACACTATGTTCCTGAGGCCCTAAAAGAAGTGATGTTTGCATATTGCATATGTAAATATAAATATGTACCAGTAAACAAAAGTGCCTGATAAACAACCCTGAATTGACACATGCTGCTGTAGCTACCTGTCAGGAAGTCACAAAAGGAAAAGCTGTGATCTTTGCAGAGTCCAATAAAATCTGTTAATAAAAGACATTTATCTGTAAGTAGAATTGGTATGTAGAATAAAACTAGACTGGAAACTTTTCAGAGCTGATCCCCCTCTTCCATCAATGACAATGGAAGAAATTACTTCTTTGAGAGCTAGGTGAGACACTTAGGTGAAAGACTGGCTTTCTGCTGCGTATCTGCGTACTGGGTGACATAGGGCAATCCTCCAGGCGTAGCAATAAGGCTAACGATTACTTTGATGTTTCAGTACGAAAGTGTGCTGTTGGAAACTTAACAGTGTGAATTTTTATTGGCTCTTTATCGGCTGAATATTCTGAGACGAGAAACTGGCCTGTTGGTCTGTGAAGCTGATTTCTTGTCTGTGACTTCAAGGTACAGCATACATAAGACTTTTCCTTCCTTATCAGAAAACAGTATTTGATCTTGATGGAGAGCATTTCTGTTTTTAAACATTAACTGTATATTTCAGTATCAGTTCTGTTCTCTTTATCACTGTAATAAAAGTACAGTTCACTACTTCCTTGAAATGACTGAACTAGCTGGGTGAATGTTTTGTAATATAGAACTACTTCCTTTTGTAACAAGTACTTAATTGCTTCTAATTTGGTTTCTATTGAAAAGGAGGGTCGGACCAAAATGATAGACTACAGAAGAAAGGATGGGGAAGGCAATGGTAACTGCATATTATTAGCGTGTCAATAGTATGATCAGAGATGTCGTCATGGGGTGGTACAAAGAAAAAGGAGAGGGAGACTAAGAAGAGAATATTTGTGAAGAGTCACAGAGAGGTGATTGAGGGATTCTGGGAAAGATTACTAAGATAAGTTGAAAGAAACCGCTGGCAAGCAGAATCAGAAAAACAGTATTTGATGAGGCCGTAGAGACCTCAGCTAATCAGTGTCCAAAGCAGCTGATAAGAATAGTCAAAACCTTTGAAATTGGCTGTTAGCAAGTCATTATCACTTGAGAGAGCTGGCACCATGGCCAGATTGGGGAAAAAAAACCAAAAAAAACCCAAACCACAAACTCCACAGAACTAAACCAGGATAAAACACTGAACAATGTTTTAAAAAAATCTCAAAAATAGGCAATCCAGTCCAGGAATTTGGATCAGTTTTGTGCCTTCAGGATCAAATAGTAGATGTGAATGAGTCATATTCTTAACTTAGAAGAACTAAGAAATTAACACTTTCGCTGCAGCTATTTGTACAACCTGACCTTCATTACTCTAGTATGAGTAACTGGAACAAAATTAGTGTGAATGAGAACAGAATCTAGTTTTTGGCATTTGCTGAGACTTAAACCCAGATTGTACCAGAATAACTGCACTGAAACCCTGTTCCGCTTTCAGAGCGGTGAATAATATCATCTAGGACCTACTGACTTCTTAACCAATATATTTTTTCGTTTGCCTGGTGTAAACTTATTTAACTATTACCAACGAGTAGAGTATGTGTATTGGTGTAAAAATTTTTTTCTTGTCTGCTTTTGTCTTTCAGTCCAAATACTTAATGGAATATTTAATGTTGACGTGCCAGAACTATGCACAAGAATTGTCAATAGAGACTTTATATCTCTCCCAAGTAAACACTGCTTGTGTCCATCAGTGGCGCAATAATCCCCAACGACATTATGCAAGATTAATTAGCTCCAATGTAAGGTTGCTAAACCAGCCAATATACTATAAGGGAGCAAAAGACACCGAGACAAAACAGGTACGAACAATTTGCGTGTCCTCTTTCAGTATTCTAGTAGATATGTATGTGGCATGAAATAACCATAGTAAAAAAAAAAAAAAAATCTAAACATCTGAATGAGGCCATCGACCTTGGAGCAACCCATAATTAAGATTTAAAATGAGTTTGGGACTTCATGTAGCCACAGAATTTATTTCCTTAGGAGGCTAGTATTGGGTGTCAGAATGGGCTTAGCAGTAGTGGCAGGGTTTTGTTGTAGTGGATAGAGTTCTGAGGGGACGCTTTAGAAACAGTGTAATAACAGCTTTGTGTTCAGCTGCGTATGTGGAATTTCATCTTTTTTCTTCTGATTTTTAAAGCATCATTGGTGGCCAGCTGAGGAGTCCCACATGTATCATTGTATTCCACCGAATTACAGAGCACCCAAAGAACTGGTCTTCAGAAACCAGTCTACGAGTTGGTTTTGCCAGCTGAGTTCAGTCAGCAACAGCCTCCATCTGGAATAGGTGAGAACCCTCGAAGTTTTTTTTTTTTCAATATTAAAGTTACCTGAGTGGATTGCACTGTGTACACTGTCAAAAAATTGCTATCTGCCAACAGATTTAAAAGTTGTATTTTCCATTTTTGTCTATAGTCAGAAATAGCAAATAAGGTACATTCTTCAAACTACGCTTCATGGGGAGCACCTGTCTGCAGATATGATTTTTGTCTCCTTATAACAGTATGTTTTAAGAATTACCCTACTGGTATCCCGTGAGGTGTTTCCTTCTGACTAGCTGCCATCCTAAGTAAATAGTTATAAAAACTGCATGCCTCTGCTAGCAGAGTTCACCCATTAAATAACTCTGTATTAGTAATAACTGTTCCTTTGGCATGCAAAAACCAAAGTTTTTTGAGCGATCACATGAGGAAATACTTCTTCAAAAATATGCATCTGGAGGCTGTAAGATTGTAAGAACTTTCTTTCAGCTATTCTTAACGTATAGGTACTGGAAACTTTTTTGAGAAAGCTTGACTGAATTGTGCTGTCAGAGGACAGTTGTTTGCAGCGTCTGCTTTAGCTGACTGAATGCCCTCCTACCGAGGGCTGGCTTCCAGCTGCTGCACTGCACTTTCTGCAGCCCCGACTAACGCAGTGCTAGCGAGGGGCTGTCTCACTGGGGCTCGAGGCAGGCAGAATACATTCTCTTGTCCTTTCCCCCAGCTATCTCTAAAGCAAATTAATGAGAGCAAGTCTAGACCAATTTTTAAAAAACTTCTCAGACAGGCTGTCTCCCTCTTTCTAGTGTTTTGTCAGCATAATGACTGGCATTTTATTCTCTGCGAGTAGGGCATTTGGGGATCTAAGTCTTCCATAAAATCAGACTTATGTGAGAGGGAAAGACTCATCCAAACGCATATCTGTAACAGCTGAGCTGACTGGCTGGGAAAGCAGTACTGGTTAAATGTGTCCCTTTATGTGCCTGGTAGCAGCGTATTATCAGCAAGTCAGCTCAAACTGCTGCTACTGTGATTTTCATCACTTACTTTTATAAGAAGAATTTGGTGGAGAGCAGCTGCAATTCTGCATTTCTTGATTCCATGCATATTTATTCTGAGGAGGCAACTGGTTGATGAGCCAACACCCTCGCTGACTATGCCAGGAGGATCACAAGAGACTGCCGCTGTCCTCAGATGATATTCCCAGAGAGTGGTGTGGCAAGCGTGTAACAGCACTCTTGAAGGCCAGTGCGATATGGCTGAACTGCATTGTCTTCAACGAAAAAAGTCATGTGAATTACTATTTTAATGCCAGAAAACGCTGTGAAACACAACAAATTATACTCTGTTTAAGAACCCAATGTATTTTCTTGACCATCAGAGCCTGATAGACTTGAAATAAGTATAATACTACTACTCTGATGCTCTGAGGTGCTCAGTTTCTGTGGGCTAATAGGAAGCTTAGATTTTCAAGTCTGGGGAGAGGGGCTTCCTAGTTAGCAGTTTCAGAGCAATCTGAGATGTGAAGGGAATAGGGTAGAGATTATGCAGTGCTAAAATCCTTCCAAAAAACCTTGCCAATTATAGTAATTAAAAGAGAGGAAGAAGGGGAGACGTTTCCTTGAACAGAGGGACAATTTCTTGTCTGCCCTGGTTTGAGGAGGAGGGGCTGCTTGCTCAGGGCTCTTTCTCTTTAGTAATTTATGAAGCAGATTCATTCTGCAAGACACCACAAAGCCAGAAGCAAAGGTGATGCTGAGTGGGCAGATTTTGGAGCTCCCAAGATCTCTGGCAGCAAAGGGAAGAAAACGGCATTCGAAGAAAATAGTGGTGTTTGGTTGGTTTTTTTTTTGCATTACAGCAAGAACTAGCATGTGCTGGCTTTCTTTCCTCCAGGGTGGGAGGGGAAAGAGAATGGCAGTTGTTGGCTCTTTTTCTCTGCTAGTGGAGAACATAGAAAAAGAATGTCATAACAGAAATAGGCACAAATCTGTCAGCAAATTGGTACTCTTAACTCTTCAGGGGGTCTCTGTCCAAGTGTTAGCATACAGGAGTGAAAGCCGGAGACAATAGTGAGTTAACTCATATGTATAGTTTTTGGTATATACAGTATCACTTGGTGTTAAGAGATCAAATGGTGTTGTTATAGCCCAACTGCTGCAAGTTTTTTAATTGTGTAGACCATTTTACATTGAAACCATAGCCAAATATGAGTGAGTTATGAAACAATGTTTTAAGATTTACTGTGTATAGCTAAGCTTGTGTAGTGGAAAATAAAAAGCCACATTTGGAACCATGACAGCTTTTGCTAAACATTGAGGAGAAGGGTAAAGGAGACAATTAAGGAATTACTTTTAGTTTTCTCATTCTTTCTGCAGCAGAAGTTAGAGCTTTTGCGGAGGTGACTGGTGAAATTTAGAATGACTTTTGAGCGTGGTGGCTATGTCTACCTTTGCCCGAAGGATCCTGAAGCCTGTGACACTCTCCCTTGTGTCATGTTGCTTGACTTGGTGACCTAAACATGTGCTGAACACAAATAATATGTACCCTTGTGGCAGAAATCTTTTGGGCTCTTCTAGGAAGGATCTTGGCTCTCCTGCCTGTTTGATGTTGGCCATGTGTCAAGGCAGATGGAGGTGGCCTGTAACAGAATGCTGCGATCATCCATCCATGTCCAAGGAAGGAGAATGCTCTGAAATGCAAGCCCTTCCCCTTGGCAACACCAGTTCACTGTTCCTAATATGACCCTGGTCATTGCTCCGTGGCTTTGATCAGTGATTTTTGGCCTTGGGGGAGCCCTTAAATAGACTTTGTTTGTATCCCTGGAGACTGCAGACTGTACTAAACTGGTAGTGCTGGAGCCCCAAATGGGGGACTTGTGGAGAGCTTCTGTGGAAGTACAGATAGAGAATATTGGGAGGAACCTGTTTCATTGTGTTAGCCAAGCCGTGGAACAAGTATGATGCTATTGAGTTCCAACTGGCTTATCCAAGCCCTGTTTCTCATTGAGAAAGTTAAGATAATCAGCTTTATTATGAAAGACCAGAAATAATCAACTGAAAGCAACAGCATTTGCGCAGTTTATGGTTGGGTCCTGGTCTGTGCTCCATCGATTGGTGTGAAGCAGCTTGAGCAGTCCTGCTCTCCGTGGCACGGTCTCTGGGTGGTGCAGGTTTGCTGTGGTAGCTCCCATGTACCTCCATTCCCCAGCGGTCGTTGCGGGGGCATGGCAGGGGCAAGGGGTTATGACTGTTCCCGGCGATTTTCAGCTCCTGTGACAGCAGGCTGGGGCCACAGAAGACTGGTACAATCTACTCTGAATTGCACCCTGAGATCCGACTGCTGAGCAGTCCCAGGACCGAGCGCGAGTAAAGGGCACCCGTGTGCCCTTTACCCCCTCAGCTACAATTGAGCAATGCTTAACACAGCTGAATGTCTGGCCCTCCCAGACAGATACAATAACGAGTCTATGAGAATGTTCATACCAATTAAATCTTATCATCAAATCATTCTGTTCCATCACTCCACTTAATTAGCCATGGTCTTTGGTATTTCAGCAATGCTATACCATGCCAAAAAATGAAAGTATTCTTTGTGCGGTACACACCCAACAACTGCCTGTCTGCCAGCTAGAGTCAGATCAACAAATATTTCTCCTGTGCCAGAGCGGTATCTGTTGGAAAATGTAATTGCCCACTTCTGGTTTTTCAAACCCAAATGAGTTAGAGGCCCTGGTCTTTTCATCTTGGGCGGTCAGCTTTTATTATAGGAAAAGCAAGCTGGTTTCTCATCCGCTGTCTTGTGGGTTTTGTGTGACTCATCACAGTTTGTATTCACAACTAAAACACAGTTCCTCGAGTGTTATTTATTAATATGGCCTTTCTGTTTACAAAAGATAAATGCAGAAAGACTGTAAAGGAACACAAATTAACTACTATTAGCAGGCAGCAGCAGTGGATCAGAGCTACTACCTGGATCCTTGTCTGCAGCAGGGGCCAGTGACTTCATGAATGTATATTAGGTGATGGTCTGACCTACTTCTATTTTGTGATTGAAAACATCCAAATCCAGGCAGATCATCACACCCTGCTTTTAGCAAGAAAGGGCCTGATTTTGCAACCTGTGCTCTAAATGACTGGAATTTTCTTTTCTCCTTTCATGTGAGTAGCTCTTGTGAATAGGTGTGGATGAGGAGCTCTATGGTCTGCAGAATCCAGCCTGGAAGAGCTCATCAACACATGGCAGTAAGGGGATGCATTAAGAATGAATTCTCAAAACAGTATAAGTGTTGGTTCCCTGCTACCCACTGATGTTGAGACCCATTTTCACTGCCAGTGAGAAAGCGGCTACCAACCTACCTGTGACAAGAAATCAGTTTCTTCAGTGGAAATATAATCTATTTTAATAGCACCGCCACAAATCTGTGCTATGCCATCTGAGGCATTTGTCAGATGTGACAAGGCACTCGGCCTATTTTTGTCATGCAGCAAAGCCTTTTTCCTATTCTACTTGGGCTAAGTCCCATCCTTAGATATGAGCTCACTCCTCTTTTCCACTTACATGGAAATGTTGGGCGTACGACTGAAGGTAGAATTTGGCTGTGATCTGAATAGATGACATCTGTAATCTTCTTGCAGATAGGGGACCCAAAGGACACGGACAGGTGCCGATAAACATCGAGCCTGCATAGATGCATTTGTAAATCCTACCTGGCACTTGTCTGCACCTTCAAGTGCCTAAATACATTTGAAAATCTGCCTTTGAGAGACTTGTGTTTGTTCTTGTAGGAAGGCCGTACAGAGGGGGGAATTGAGTCTATTTCTTTTGATTGCCCATGTAGGACCTTAATCATCATAATAGTCTTCCTCTTGCCAAAAAGCCCCATTGATCGCTTCTGTCCGCTGTATGTTACAGCTGGATGTGCTTCTGCCTACTTCTCCTCCATGCAAAAGCCTCTCTCTTTCTATAATTCCTAG